GCCCTTTTAATAGAGAGTCGGTTCAGTCAATACTTGCAATCAGTCCGGAGTATTCTTAACCCCAAGAGGAATCACTGATGTTGGACTGTATGTCGACTAACCATTGAAACAGTCGGCTCGATTACCAGCCGCTGTTCGGCAAAGACCGGACCCGGGAGACGGCGGAAATCGAGCCTATTGAAACAGTCAACCAGCGTACTTCCCGTTTTCGCGTGCTACGTGCACGGTTCAAAAGTCTTTATCGCGACAAAAGTCACGAGAGGGAACTCAATGAATTGATTGAGACATTGTTTCTTTTTTTTATGAGCGTCGGTATTCATGATCAGTTGTGTTGTTTGCGTATGAATCATTGCTTTAATAGTTCAACATTGTTTTTCTGTCCGAGCAATCTGTCAGTTGGGTGAGTCTGAATTATAAAATGTGAAAGAACCGAAAAACAAATCTATCATGAAAACTTTATTAAAACTAAAAAATTTTAAATCAGTCGTCTGCTTCATCAGTAGGATTCGCTTACCATCAAAGGAGAATGAATTCACTTTAAAAAGAGAGAAATAAATAAGAGGAGATAATCATGAGACGAAGCCCAATACCCGAAGGAACGAGAGGAGCCATTTTAATAGATAGACAGTGCTGGTTTCTTGGCAGTTAGTGGAAATATTTTTAATACTGATCGACAGTGTAATTAGATATATTGGACTGCTGTCGATCTAGAAGTGAAAACAGTTAGCTATATTGGCCCCTTTTCATCCAACTATTGAATGCGTTACCTATTTAACAAAGAGCTGTCAATGTTCACGGGTATGGCTTAGAATTCCTTAATACAGTTTTCAAGAAGTGGATGTAACTCACGAACTTTTCGAAACAATGTTTCTAATGCTTCTATTTTATGATTGTATCAAGTAGAAGAGAAACAATTGAACCATTTAATGGCTAATTGTTTGAACTTGAATCTGCGAGGAATGTTCCGAAATGCTAGTAGGATGGCCAGCAATACATCATTGTTTGTGTATTGGGTAAAGCTGTTTCTAGAAAACGAAAAAAGCAGCAGAAATCTTACTGAATTACAGTCCAGAGATTAACTTGAATTAAGAAATAACTTTGAAGTGAAATACGGCTCAAAAGGTTTCAAACAATGCATTAGATCATAAACAGAAAGAATTAACTCAACGGGAACAAATTGATTAAACTTTGCGTTTACTAGAGTGAAACCGTTGAGTCGAGGGTTGTGATCTGTAGAAAAACTTTATGAGACGTAAAAGTCCAAAGTTTTCTTGACGTGTTCAATCTGCGAAGCTGTGCGAACTCGCAAATATCGAACTGGTTATTGAGTGTCTTAGCAAAAACTGGCAAACGAAAGGAAGGTAGGGCAACATTAGTCAGTATGAAAGAAAGTCAGCATTGTTGTTAAGATAAATAGGTGAACCATTCAAGTTCGATGGCTACGCGCTATTCATTTGCAGCCTGAGTTTGAGGTTGAAGCATTTTTTCATAGAGGTTGCGTTGTTTACATCGTGAATTCCCCTGACTGAAGTCGTGCGTAAAGTATCAGGAGGAATTTTGAAAACTGCAACAAAATGACCGAGGCCATTCACTGGCCATCGTTAAGACCTCGTCAAAGAAAACTTATAAGGATCAGACGCCATTAATGATTAGTGGTTGGCTGTTACTGAAACTAAAAAATCACTTAGAAAAACAATCATTCAACTTTCAATCTGCACCTTCTCGGATTTTTATTACAATGCGTCTGTAAACACCTGTCCTGAGAAACTGTCGAGACCACTAAGTTAATGTTCTTTGAAAAAAAAAAGACCTCTGTACCGATAGACCTATTACGTGTTGAATACAAGGTAAAGAAAAACAATGTTGAACAAATGTTGGGATTTTAGTATCACAAAACTTAAGACTTAAACCGGTTCAGGCGTAGTTTAAAAAACCATTTTACGTAAAATTTTACAATTGAAAAAGACGATCTGGTCAATGGCTATCTGCAAGAGAGATCTCTTGTTATCTGACTATTTGGGCTGTTAAAGTTAGAACATCCGAGAGAGTGGAAAATAATTCGTGAAAACTGAAAATTTCATCCCGTTTCTCTGACGAACTTAAACCAATGAAATAACCCGACTTACCTTCGTAAGCAAAAAAGAGCAACCATTTTTGAAGAGTGGAACTCAGAGCTTCGAAATGTTTACTGGAAAACACAGTGTATTGGCATATTTGCATTTTTCTAAAGCTTTGATAACTTTAAAAGTCCTTCTTATTCAGGGGAAATTTTTTAGCCTATTATCAGGAGCCACCTGTTATTATTGACAATTTGAAAGCTTCACCCCAGGGTCGCCCCATAACGAGGTATGGGGATTATATTATGATTTTCACCCATTTTTGGTATCCATGATCCTATTCTGAAATGCCATACGTCTCCAACCCCTAACACGTGTGGGGCACTCCCCACGGGTTAGGGGGTGGGAACGTGTGACATTTCAGACTACCATGATCCCAATATTTTTGATATAAGTTTCAAGGATCCTTATACTAGGCTTTTTTCCCAAAGGTCACCTCGGGGAGATAGCTTAGGGTAAGTTTGCTCTGGGTTTTGATCACTTTCATGTTTGCGGTCACACAGTGATAAACTGCCCACGTGAGGAAGCCCATTACCTATTGGTAGTGTAACCGCACCTATTATAGCGGAGTTCTCGCGCGCAAAGCGCGCCAGCGGAGCACCATGGGTAGGAAAATGAAGTAATCTACCCATCCGAGAAAATTTGGTAGTCACGTGACCGTACACCGACCGCCCGCCCGAGCCGCCGTCTGTCCTCACCACAGGCATACCAATGTAAAATAACTCATTCAACAGGTATGGCAACCCAAATGCAACTCGAGGTTATTTAGGCGGGAAATAGCATAGCCACCGACGTCTTGTAAAGCAGAGACAACTAAAAAGTCAATAAACACGAAAACTGAAAACGGAAATTGTTTTTGTATCCGTGTTGTCTACAGTATTTAGCTTAGATTAATTGTTATGTCCACAAATTTGGAATATAGGGCAGGAGAAAGACAGAGAAAAAGAGAAAGAGAAAGTAGGCGGCAGGCCAGCGAAGCTCAACGAGAGAAAGGGCGACAGAGGTCTTGAGCGAGACTGGGTTAAAAACAGAGGAGACTTTTTTATTGGAAGAACAACATGAAAATTTTGTAGCGGCGGCGACAAAATGGGAAATGCTAGCGGCCACCAATGGAAGGTGAAAATGAGCGGCAGTGAAAAAAAAAGTGAACGAGAACCCGTACAACATTCCTCCATAAAACGTGTAACTACTAAGAAGTTTCTGGAAGTTTCACGTTGTAGTCGTGCAAAACAACCGCAAAGAAATGTACAAAAAAAGTGTGCTGCACGTGCAAAGTTGCTTTTTTTGCTAATTAGACCTATTGTTGTTTTTCACCGTTCTCCGGCGTTGCCTTCGCCGCTTAGCATTACACGATTTTATATTTTGTTTGAACAAACTATAAAAATTATCAGCGAGAGCTTTCGCTTTTAGCCCTGGCAAAATCTATATATTAACGTTGAATGTCGTTCTAATTAAAGGGAAAACTTTCATTCCCCATAAATATGATTATGAATTCTTTGTTCTAATCAAACAAAATAACGTTCGAAATAAATTATAAATTGTTTGAAACAATGTTTCTTTGTCAGTTTATGATGTTTAAAGATCAAAACACGTAAATGACAGCCTGCTGATTATTCAGTAGAATGCTGCTTTGTTCGTCTTAGCACATGAGAACTATTTTTTTAAAAAGAAATCCGAAATGAAACTCAGGTTAGTTTAACTTCGTCTATGGGCCTTATTCACACGGCGGCCATATTGTCCCAAGAGACTGAAAAAGCTTTGTTTTACCACCCTTGACCTCTCAGTGAAAAATTTGGGAGCGAGACTAGACACGTAAAACAAAGCTACTTTAGTCTCTCGGTACAAAATGGCCTCCGTGTGACGTACAAACATTAACCACAAGGGACTGCAAAGGACCGCAAACGAATATGCCGAAGAACGTAGGATCTATAAAGACCTGATCAGCAAAAATAATAACGTAGACATATTAAATTCTGCAAGCAGAGCCTGATCTCTGGTTGTTACGCCATACTGACGAGCCCCAAAGAGGGCGTTTGTCGACAGATACCGATGTTAGGGCGAGACAAAACTTAAGAAAGCCACAGCACAACTACAGAACGTCTCAATTAAAAGTGCATCATGCTAGTCGTAACGTCATAAGACGAACGTCTTAAATTATACAGACCGTGTGACAAAGGCCCATTGAAATAAAAAAAAAAAGAAGAAAAGCTAAGAAGTACGCTCGTTATGTAGAGGATCAAACAAATAGTGTCTCCCTATTTTTAGGGTTCAAGTCCTAACTTAGTGCAAGTATATGATGGTTTGAATACCGGAGAATACGGCGACCTTGCCGCTCTTGAGCAAACAAAGTTAACAATGGAACCAAGCCAGAAAACAAAAAAGCTACAACAGTAAGGGGTCTATAAATTAGAGGTTTTGAAGAGCTGCAAGGGTACTGGAGAATACACCATTATATAAACACTAATGGAAAAAAGTCGCTGACCGGGGCCTCACACTTTTTCCCGTGAAAGCTGGTAAAATTTTGCAGACCCTCCAATGTCCATCAAGCCTGAATGTCCATAAAATATTAGTGTTACGTTTTAACCTGCCAAGGCGCTGTTGTTGTGATTTGTCATGATTACCTGTAGATCAAGCACACAGCCTTTTGAAAAAATAAAATAATAATAATAATAAATAATAATAATAATAATAATAATAATAATAATAATAATAATAATAATAATAATAATAATAAAAGCAAGCAAACAAAAAAAAAACAAGTTAGAACATTATTTAAAAAACAATAATGGCGCCATCTCATGTCGCAAAACACGCCTTATAAATTACTAATAATACCTTGATGTGTTTAACTGTATTTTTATTTTCCTATCGTTTTAGTTAAAAATGTCTGGTTCCACGCCTGTCGACCTTGGGAACACCGCTGACTCCTCAGATATTGATGAATCGCTGGAGTCGTTTTGTACTTGCCTCACTAAGTTTGTTGACTCGCATGAGTTTCCCCTCTCAAAAGATGAGTTGAAAAAGAAGATAAGTGAGATAAAGGATTGGGTTAAGAAGCAGAAAAAGAGGTCCGATGAAAAAGCAAAGAAAGAACTTGTTCAGAACATGGTAAAATTTGCCACATCAACAATGAGTGGTATACAAAAGATGCGTAGTGGAGACGTCCCTGGAGGCACTTTGGAAATCATTTCAGGTGTTGCGGTGTTTATCGGTGAAGTGCAGGCTGGTAGCCGTATTGGGGCAGCCATTGGTGCCATTAATGGAACAATCTGCAGCATCATTGGCGCCATTTTCGGAGCAAGCCAACCCCAGCAGCCAAGCCACATAGAGCAAGTGGCTGAAGTTGTGCACAGAGAGTTAGTGGAATTTAACAGCAGGTTACAAGACCAGAGATATGACGGTCTGAAACGTCGCGTGTCAGACCAGTCATCCCAGCTGCAGAAGATGAAACGAGGTGAAAAACTGGACGATCCCAACTTGTGGAACGACTACGTGCAGTTTATGGGAGAACTGGGTAACAGAATCCAGTCACCATTGCCTAAGTACGAAGATATTTTGGCAAACGATGCAGATGTGGCAGATTTCGTGACAGCATTAATGACGTACTGCCAGGCTTTCGGCTGTTTCAACGCGCTTCTAATTACCGCCAAAGGAACATTTGCACGTCTTGGAAAAAAGTATGAAGAGAATGACGAACAAGCGGATCGGAAAATCGACGGCCAAATGCGAGATTTAAAAGAGAAATTGGCTTTCTTGTTTGATGAAAATTACTTGACATTTCTTGGACGACTTCCTTCAGAAGGAGGAAAATTGAAAAAGTTGGTCGCATTCAGCAGAAACCAAGCCGCGAGACGCCTTGCGGAGATGGCCACACGAGGTTTTGGTTTTCATAAGCTACCTGATTATAACACAGTTGAATCGAAGGCAGAAATCGTATCCCGCCAGTCAGTGAAATTAAAACTTGAGGGGCATCCATTTGAAAGGTTCACCAGCTTCGATTTAGCCGATTCCTGTTTGTTGCAGTTTATAAACGAAACTGCATATCCCTTAAAGGTAGTAGGCGGTACAGTCCTAAAAAAGAAAGACTCGCCGTTCAGACGAGTTGTTCAGTGTCGTTCTTCGGTTGTTATACCAGTAACACCAGATTTTGGAGGGTATGTCATCATCTACATGGACGGGAAGCTACGTTCAGACGATGAACCCCATGGCCCAGATGTAACTCATATTATCGAACTTGCCTGGTGTTATTCGGTTGGAGAAAAAGGAGACCCAGGAGTAAATATCCAGGACAAAACAGACAGTGAGTTTACTAAAGGCAAGGATACCTACGACCAAATGAACGAAAAGGAAAAGACCATCTATTGGAAGACAGAAGAAGGTTCGCACTACATGGCCAATGCAGATGCGGCGTACCAATATCCGCCGGGTGCCCTTCGGTATATGTACCGATTTCGATTTTTGTTCCAAGATTTTGACCCTCTTGACCCTCATGATGTTGTTACTGCGGATAAAGGTAGAGTCCATAATGATACATCATTGGAAATCGCCAAACTATCTACAAACCTATTGATATTTTTACACTAAAAGTAATCTATAGCTAGATAATACTAAAGCAGAAAGTATCGTATCGAGTGGGAGGGTCTGGGAGTCCGTACCCACTAAATGCCCCATGAATCATCTTGTACTAAATGACAAAATGCGTTAAGACTAAAGGATCACATGCACTCCAAAACCAATCACAAACCAGAAACTTACCCCCTGGTTATTCCCCTGGTTAGCTTAAGCGATTGAGTACCAGACTGTGGAGCGGTAAGCCTGCGCTTAATTCCCATTGGGAATTCCATTCCGGACCAACTCTTGAGGTCTTAAAACAACAATGCAGGTGCTACCGTTTTAATCTTCTCCATTACTACCAGAAATTGACGACAAAATGGCGGACGACGGAGAATATTGTATTACATCGGCCCTTTAAAATTGGTCACCAGTATAATAGTAAAATGTACAGGGTAAAACGGAGAAAGTCAAATTTATAATCGCCCACAACTTGCCAACCTCCAAATGAGGAACACGTCTATTGCAGAATCTACGGGAGTCAACGAACGATCAGCGTTCGTAGACCTACCTTCTCTGTCTTCCACCAAACTTTGTTTACATTGGGTCTGAGGTGCCAACTTTTTAAAACTTTGCTAAATGTTTACACTTTCGAAGGCTGCAAAAATCGCTTCTGTAAGCTTTCCTGTGCCGGAGAACGCTTTCTTGAAAAAGTTCCTCGTTTTGGGGTGTAATACCGCCTCAACTTGGCCACTCAACTTAAAATAATTTTCTCTTACGTGAATACAGATATCAAAGACAATGGTTTTTGTCTGTATGGCAAGTGACTAAAATCGTGGAGCACATTGTTAGGCTTATATACATTGCTCAGTCGTAATCGCAGTCGAACTTCCTTTATGGACAGACGCAAGTGTCCATGTTACAGAGGGAAACATATAGGACTGTTAAAAGCCTAATGTGGAAATTACAATAATGTATGTTCTAACTTTTAGTTCCAGAGCCATCTGGATCTCGTGCATGTATTGTCATCTAACGCGGTTTGAGGCTCTAATGAAGGTAAATACCATCGACTCTCACTCAGGTAAAAGCGTTATAAAGATGGTTGGTCACACGAACTTGGTGAACAAATAAAAAAATCAATAAACTGACCGAAAGAGACCTACAAATGTCTACAGGTTTCATATTAAAGCAATGACATACGCCGGATTCAGACTGACAAACGATTTGCCAGGCTCCCTGGCAAAGACGTTCTTTTGGCCCGTTACGCAATGACGAACCCCAAAGAACGTCTGCGTGGGAGGCTAACAAACGACCAATCACTTCGCGCAGCTTATTTGAACAACCACCTCAAGAATTTGTCAAAGTTTTCTTTATCCTGCAAGGAAAGGCCGTTTTACCTTCCAAGATAAGTTCCTTTCTGTGCTCAAGGATAAAAAGAAAATACGGACACAAAGCTCCCCTCAACTAACGGACATTAAAGGGATTCAGGTGTTTCCACTATTGACGTTTCTTTAAGAAAGAACTGTATGAAGCCTGATATATTTTTGGACACAGACGAAATGTCCGTAAATTAGGCCTCAATAAAGTTATTCATTAGACGTTGAAAAATTTTAACCATTAATAATCTGATTAATTTTTTTGTGCCTCAATAAAAAGCTCCAACTGTTTAAACAGCAAACAATTTTTCAGACTATTGTTAAGTGCTAACGTCGACTAACGGTTCGGGGAAGTAAACCGATGTACCGTACACTAAAGGCAACACGTTAACCGTGAAGATACTTATAAACGAGAAGTACTTACGAAGATGTTAGATTATAGGTGACAATTACAATAATGCTTATTTTCCTTTCCTTTTCAGATACAGGGCCCTATAATGTTTCGTAAGCTTTCAGACTGTGGATAAGCTGCCAAAACAGGGGAATACCATCTACTACTAAAATTAAAAGCTGAACAGCAAGACTAAGAACGTCACCACAAAGCAATGAGTTCAGGGACGGGATTACTGAAGATGATCTGGATTAGAAAAATGACAAAATTGGAAGAAACAACTGCAGGATCCTTACAGCCAAGTGAAAAAGCTCTTTCTCCTTTCCCCTTAGAAAAGCCTTATGCTCAGGCTATGTAACCCTGTTTATATGTATCATGGTTATAGCAAAAAACTAGGGGCCAGCTATTTACACCGAGTTTTAACCGTGTTTAACAAAATCGCGTTCTAAGCCGTTTTCAGTTTGCCCAATGCTTTCATTTTAACACCATTTATCGTGAGCAATTTCAGAAAAGCATATAGCGTGGACTGGAAAAGCACTTACTTTCTTAGAAAGGGATTTGGAAGTCCAATGATTTCTTAAACCGCGGCCTAAGTTAGACTTCTTTTAAATAACCGACCCTAGAAATTTCAAATCGCAAAATATAGCTCCATTTTTCAGTGTTAAACTAGGGGTACCTCCCGGCAAGTGCCAACGAGGCGAATTCGTTTATCTTTTGTGGAATGTGCCTATTCAGATCTTCTTTCATAATTTTAGAGGTTTAAAATGGATTCCGCTATAGAAAAGGATGGCACCCAACTTCGAAACAACAACTTTAGCACATTCTAGGCTTTCACTTTTATTAAAAAATAACAACATGGCTTGAAGCTTTGTTGGTAAATATGAGCAATTTAGCACTTATGTTTCATGGAAGATTCCATTGTATCAAAGCTATAAACGTTAGAAAGAAAAATGTAGTTCAAATGAGGTCTTTGACTGCTGAAATTAAAAATAATAATTAAGACCCTGTTTATATGGAGTGGGGGACCCCGGTCTAGTGGGGTAAGTTTCTTTTGTTTTGTGTCTCCCAGAGCGTGAAAACAAAAGAAACCAACCCCACTTGACCGGGGTCCCCCACTCCATGTAAACAGGGTCTTAATTCCGAGCAACAGCGTCATCAGGGATAAGAAAAATATTTTGCGTGGTAATATACATAAAAAAAACCAAAATGTGTGAAAAGCGCGCAAGAATGGGGCGGAATGTATTAGAGGTATAAAAATATAAACTTAAATAAAATACAAAGATCTAATGTGCGAGTGTCACAGGACAAAGAGTCTCTTGAAAGGCATAATGTATCAGACTTTTTGTTTTCCAGGCGTTTAAGCAACGTAAGGAGTGCCCTCAAAACCCGACAGAGTTACATTTAGCTCGTCGTTTTTTTGATGCTGGTTGACAAAATCTCTCGAAAAACATAAATAAATTTTAAAAAAAGGTCTGCAAATAAGTTGCATTCTTCAAGGGAGGTGAGGACTGGCTCAATGTAAATCGACCTGGAAAGAACACGCTGGTTCTGATATAAGTTTTGAGAATATAACCCTATGCTTTGACCAACTACCGCTTAAAATTCAGTTCACAAAGGAAAAGAGAACACTGAAAACCCTGGTTCTGAGTCGAGAAGCGAACACCTCAATACAAATCGAGCTGCAAAGAACAAGCTAGATCTGACAAAAATTTGAGCGTAAAACCCTATTCCTTGATCAGCTGCTAATTAAACACAATTTATAAAGCTAACCAGAGCACTAATTGCCCTTTCAAACTAGAAATCGTATTAAAGCTTGCTCACCAGTTAGGTCCTCTTGAACAGACAACGAACAGCTGCACACTGAATCATCCAATTTCGGACCACGAATTGCAAATATGAGACCATGACGTCACTACCCAAATATGGGGTCTTACTTACACCCAAATATGGTCAAAAATACAATTTTTAGAAGGTTACGCAGAATTTGAGAGTTTTTGCCCACATTGCGCGGCGTTATAATTCTGCCGCCGAGTCAACCTCGCTTCTTAGCTCGGTTGCCTCGTTGGCAATAAATTTTTCCCCTTGGTATCTCAGTGCCACATTCAAGACATTCAAAGGTTGCTTCAAATCGTATTCTCAGTGTCACATAAAGAAAAACAAAACAAAACAAAAACAAAAAACCTGATAGAATCAAGTGATGGGCTCCTATCATGGTTGCCCAGAAAAGGCCATTCCAAGTTACAATTTACTTATTCATATTATTCAATCTCATTTACAACCTCGTCCCCAGGGCTTTTCCCTCAAAAAATGGGTGGGGCAGGAAAAGGACACCCATTATTTGAGGGAAAAGCCCTGGGGACGAGGTTGTCTCATTTATTCGTTTGGTAAAGTTAAGTTAACAGTAGCTGAATAAGATTTAAATTTAGAGAAATATTTTTCCATTTTCTATTCTTTGGTTTACATGGTTATGCCATCTTGTTTCACCTTTACAGTGGTCATTGGGCGAATGCTCGAGTTAGTGAGCGCCGTGCCCATTTAGGTTTAGTCTAATTCGAGAGGGAATGAGCTCTCTTACCGGAGCTTTACCTACTAAGTGAAATGAAAGAAGAGTCTGTTTTTAGTTGTTCTCAGTGAATCTTTAGATGATATGTTATGATGACACGATTCAAACAAAACCAACAAGCCAACAGTTTTCTCTAGGGCTGTTTATTATGCTGTACAAGGTGGTTCTAACTTTTAAGATTATAAAAACCATTAAGTGTAACCATTCACATGAAATTTATAACTAAAGATTGGTGCTTTGCTATGGGCTCTCTTGATTCATAGACTTCGACGTCTTATACGTATTTATGCGTCTATTTATTATTTTGTACAACGTGATTGAAACTTTTGAGTACGTACCGGGACAATTCTAATCAAACCTGGACAAACCTTTTTGCCCTCAGTTTTTTTGCTGACTACTTGTCAATTTACAGTATTTTACACCTTGTACACACTGTTGGTTAGGATTTATATTGAACTAAGCGCAGGCACTCTGGTCTCTGATGGAAGTGTCAGAAAGATCAGAAATAGCCTGCGAGAAAGCTCTTTATTTATAGCGAGCGAAGCAAGGCGCGACAGTTCGCAAGCAGCGAACGCACTCGGGTCTCCTTTCGCGTGCTGCTCTCCCGTGACTTCTCTCTTAC